GATTAAAAAAAAAAGGCAATAAATTAAGGTCATTTACACTATTGGTCTTTGTATGACCGTTGAACTTTGATCAAATAAATCTTAAAATTAGAATACTGCCATAGATAACGACAATACTAGTAATGACAGCCGGCCAGCACTTAAGAATTTATTTGTGTTGTGATTAACTTTGAATTCGTTTTATAAAGTGATGTACCAAAAGTGTGCCAAGGTATATACACGGTGAATAAAAAAGTATGTGCAGAACTTAAATTATCCTGCCTGAAAGCATTTTAACACTCTTGTATGACTCCAAGAATATGGTATTAACCGAACAGGAATTATATCTGAATTTCTATTGAAAAGGATCAAATCTGATAAAACCCAGTTAATTACTCATCTTACTGTTGGTAAAAATTATGTCTCTATTATGTTAATCGACTTCTACCCCCTGGCTAATACCCATAGTGCTGCATATCTGACAGGTTTATTATTAATGTGTGTTCTAGAGATAATAAAGGGAACACACACGTGGCATTGGAGCGCTTTTCCCTACCAGGTGGATATAATGAAAATGAAATTAAAAACTGGTTTGTCGGTGAGTCTGACAGCCACTTAAACCCCTTTCTGGGGGAAGAACACCCCCCCGAGAATTAAGTGTATTGAAAATGTTAATTGCTTTATTCATAGTCAGATTTGGCTTAACTCGCTCGGTTGAGGACCAGACCCCTGGACTACAGGACGGCGAGGCACTCTGGATTCGCAGAGTGGGCAGGAGGGACACAAAACACGAGCGCGAGTGAATAAAAGCTTACGTGTGGGGGGGTACGGGTACCGTTTTCTGCCTCCGGAAATGACATCAGACATGATGACGAGTCACACCGGCGATGATGAGACCCGAGTTTGGTTGGCGTTATCCCTCCCAAACTTTGGTTGTAATCTCCGTAAGTCAGCACCGGTTCTTAATATCTTCAACAAACATCATTTAGCGCTCTCTTGTTGCGTGTGTGAGAAGAAAATGGAGCATATGGGCTGTGTTTGTTTTTTGCCAAGTGAGGAAAAGCAATCCTTACAGAGCAGAAACTTTGCAGGATGCGGTGACGTTGTGAACTTTGCTCAATCGGGCCTTCCGAGCCACTCCATATTGACTGCTCAAAATCTGTTTTTAGAATTGTCCCTTTCGACTTTGTTTATTGACAGCGCACATTGATACAAGGGTTCCCCCCGACCTGTCATCAAACCAAACTGTGATTTAAACCGTGAACCTATGCACCATCCTTAACATGCATGTTACTGTCTCGTCTAATGCATCGCTGGGCTACAACCTGACGCTTCTTGCGGTTGCCCTGCGGTGTCCATGTGCTTCAGAGGTGCCGTATTTACAGTGGGTCACAATACCCTTGCGACACGGGTTTGCAGAGAGAGAGATTTAACTGCAGGTTGTATTGCATTTATTAGGAAGCCAACTTATCACTTATTTTGGCCTCTGTAAGAAATACTGCTCAGTCAATTCCTGATATTCACCAATTTTCATAACCCCCTCTTTGTAACAATATCCTTACTGTTTTTCTCTCAGTATTCCTGTCTCATAAGGGCCAGTCACTGGGTACGTTAAAGAGCGAAGTCCGGCGCCGGCTGGAGCACCTTGGGGTGTTGGATCGGGTGCTTACTGTAGGTGCTGCTCTACTGATGAATTTTTCCTCCCCGGTTCCAGCCAATTGCCGGGCTCCCTCATCTTTCTCACCGGTTCCCTGCTCCTCCGACGCGCTTTTCCTATCCAGAGTTAAAGTACCGGTTTGAGGAGAGATGAAGAAAGATGGGGTTGGTCGGGAAAACCTTATTACCGCAGTTTGAATCTGAGCGGGTCAGCGAAAGTGGAACGCGGTTTCTCCGAGTAAATGGGGAGACGATCTGCAGCATTTGTCACCTGACAAGAAACACCTGAGGTCTCTATTGCACGCTAATCAAAACGCAAGGGCGGATGCTTCGATAAATCTTAGAAATTGGATTTTAAATTCTGATCTATTAAGTTGTTCGTGGCCACCCTAGGGTTTGAGATTCAAAATGACATTTAACACGCTCGGTTGTCGGAATTCTGCTTTTTGCCTCCGATAGAGATTTTTCTCAACGGTAAATAGTACCTTATGCAGTAGCAAAAGAAAAAAAACAGCATAAATTCACAATTGTATTCGGTGCTTAGAATATCGTCAAGTAAACGTAAACATAAAAAACACATTGACCTCAGAAATAACCTTTATTTTTACATTCCGTGTGTGTAGTGTCCTTTCGAAACTGAAATTCTGAATCAAATTCAGACCTTTTCAATATGACCTTGTGCTCTTTGTACTATAGATTCTTGCTACTAAAACCTTGCAGAAAATGTCAGGAAATGTGACCTACCGAATTATCATCTAACATAAACACGTCTTGTGAAAACGGTAAAACTGTGAGAAGGGTTATTTTTCTTCTCAGTACTTACTGAATCCTGTATCATTTACCTTACGCTTATCTCAGGAGACGCAGCTTTAAAAGATTAAATGATTAATTTTCTGTACATGTCTAAATTATCAAGACTACTTCTGATGTCTAATCGTGTTGGGGGAGGGCTGTGATCCTAGGATAAGTTTTGTTTTTTTTTAACTACAAGCCAGGAATACATTTCTAAGATATGATAACTCGCTTGGTGACTAATTTCATCAAGAATCGTGTAAGTGGACCTCTATAAGTTATGGGGAAAAGTCGTCCACTTGCTTCTATTAACTTAAAAAGATGTGGTCACCGGGAATGGGAGCACAGAATATAAAAACACGATAAAATTAAAAAGACACGTGTGATGAAGTAAATTGAATTGGCGGAATGAAGGCTGGTCATGAATGATCTTTGTACATTGGGCTCCTGGCTTTATATTAACATGCTCTGGGACATAATTGAGCAAATTTAATTCTAAATGGAAGTTCTGAAAAATGTATGAACTATTTTCATTGCTTGAGCGGGGCCAATATTCCACGTGACCTGAAGGACGATCTGTGCTCAGCTGCGGCAGATCTGTCTGGATCTTTAATTGAGAAATAAAAAAAAATGTAATTATCAGGGCTTATATATATATATGATATGTCGTGGGCAGCGTGTGGTACGTTATCATCTGCTTTGGTTGACATTTTAATTTATGTGATTTATTCCCTCCACTGTTGGAAATGAAACACTGGGGTGAAAATGAAACATCGTTTGGGGTCTCTTTTGTTAAAACGATGTCGTGTTAAAAAGGTGTGCAGCGCCCAACTAAATGAAAAAAAGTTAAAAGCCTCAGCCCTGACTTAACCAAATCTGCTTTGTTTTAACCATTTCTCCGTTGAGGCGTCGATTTGATTTTTTTGTTTTTAAAAAAAGAAAAACCCAACAACAACGAGATGGACAGAAAAGCTGCCCATGGCGAATAGTGAAAACCGCTATTGGAAGTAATGCTGACTCTTTTTTTTTTTGTAAATCGCTCAGATCTGAGCAACTCTAACGAGCTTAATTCGGACTTGAGATATGTGTATGTAACAACGTGGAACCTTGTTAGCGATGACTCATTCTTGCAATGTAATCTTAGCGCCCAGAGAAAACGAGACAAAGCGGAGGGGCCATGAGATCGCTACGTCGTGTCGCTGTGAGGGTCAATATCGCCCAGGAGCGGGCTCTCCGCGGATCTCTAGAGATGGCGACTCGCAATGAGGAGCCCGGGACGCGCTCCGAGTTTCATGCTCCGCTCGGCTGCAGGAACGCCCTGTAGGACCGAGCGCCTAAGCAAAAGTCTCGAACATTACAAGTCGAGTGGTAGGTGCACCGTTCAGCTCCGAGAGCGGCGGGTCTCGAGGTGTAAGCGTGTGCTCTCGCGAACTGAAAGCAGCAGCAACGCTCATGTTCATCATCTCACTTTATTGATGGAAGTAGAGAACGGAAACTCGCCTGATTGAGGGGAGGGTTTGCAGGTACTGAGCGGTAACCTACTGTAGGTGCCGTCCCGCACAGGATGGGGACGATGCTCGGGAGTATTCATCAGGCGAGGCGGTGCCGTCGCGTCGGGACGCAGGTCCGTTTTACCTGTCGCACACGGTAGACCCGGTGCACAACCCGAGGCTGCGTGAATGCCCTCAAAACAAAAACGCCCGCAAAAAAACAAAAAACACAAAAGAGCTACCACTGACCGGTTTTGCGCAACTTCCATTTCAACCTTCTCCCCGCCATTCCGCGGTGTGGGAGAGTTTTATTTTTCCGGGGTGTGTGAATTCCCGAAGGCGCGCCGGAGCCGGGGGGGGGGGCGGACGGCGGCCGCGCGCCCGGC